GCAGTATGAACTTGATTGGATTTGAAATGAAAATTTATTGTAGCGATACTCATGATTGCTGCAAACAAATCGAGGCAGGGTCTTGCTGAAATCATCCAAATTACTGTTGTGTCAACTTGTAATCAGTGAATTTGATGTAAATCATCTTTTAGTTGTTGCCATTCAAAAAACATATTCAAGAACATCTCTCCCCTGCTCATCAGAGAAATTAAGAATTCTTTGCTTTTAGATTTCCTCGTCAACTTTTAGTCCATGTGGACTATCAGTTATTCTATATAGTTCCAACCACTGTAAGGGTTTCCTGTCTGTTGGCTACCCTAGGAGTATTTATCCAGAATAGTCAACTTGAGCTTTTGCAAATAAGAAACATCTTGAAGTTCCGAGGATAGTTTAGTTGACGCTTGTTGGTTTAAAAAAGTAACTGTGTTCCCTTTGGTAAGTTATCTCAGCTTATCTTCACTGTATTTTGCTATTTCAGGGATATATAGTTCTAAACAGACCATGGGCATTTGTGCAGTGGCTTCAACAAGCAAACATTAAAGAAGAGTATGCTAAAACATGCTGAGAAATTTCAATTACATATGATTTAATCTTCTCATCTTTTCAGCATTCCTGTAAACTCAGTAGTCTCATGGGAATTTTACTTTGCGTAGCTACATTTTGATGGCGGAGCCAGACCACATTTTAGTCAAGCCCATCCCAAATCTATCTAGAGATGGCCTTGGTGCTGCATTCCCTTTCTTTTATATTGAGCCTAAAAAGTATGAGTCTGTACTGCGGAAGTTTTTCCCTGAGGAAAGAGGACCAATAACTAACATCGATCCCATTGGGAATTCTCCTGTCATTGTGGGGAAGGTATGTTTTATTTTCCAGCCTCATAGTTGTTAGTTTGATTCTTGTTCTCTTCATTTATATAAGACCTTTGGCACTTTTTTATTCTGTTAAATGATGTTAGGATGCCCTAAAAAAGATAGCTCCCACTTGGATGAATGTTTCCTTGGCAATGAAGAAGGATCCTGAGGCAGATAAAGCTTTTGGTTGGGTACTTGAGATGTAAGAAACCTTTATCTTAAGTTCATTTTTGTGGGCTTTAGTAAAGTTTTTGAGTCTTCTTGTTCTTCTTCTTTGAAATGTAGGTATGCATATGCTGTTGCTTCAGCATTTCACGGTGTGGGTAACGTCTTATACAAGGAATTCATGATTCAGGTTTAGTAATTGTTGCTTTCTTGTTGTCTGAAGCACATTCTATTGTTGCCACTTGATGGTCATGTCATCTTTAAGAATATCTCCTTTTCAATTATCATACAAGAACTTTATAAGTAACATGCAAATGGCAAAATGCTACCTTCCCTTCCTTTTAGATTTTATTTGCCCTTTCTTTTCCTCCTATTACAACCTTAACCCATTAAATGTAAAACTACAGACTTGCTTATTTTTCAGAATATGCAGGCTTACAAATTTCTTGTAGCTTCTTGCTTATGGTTTTGTGACTTAATGATAATCATTCTTTTGAACTGCCAAACAGCCTCCTTGGGATACGGCGATCGGCAAGTCATACATAATTCATTACACTTATGGATGCGATTATGATATGCAGGTAGGGGAAACATTTGAGCTATTTCTTTTAGCATTAAACATAAATCATTTATATTTATCTACATATATGTAAATATATATGTATATACATACATATATGTGTATGTGTGTGTGTGTGCGCGCACGTGTATATATACACACACACACATATATATGATCTTCTCTTCCTTTATGACTTGGTGAGAGAGGAAGATGGAAATTGGAATGGAACTTTTAGTTTATAAGAATGTCTATTCAGGGCCACTTGACATACGGAAAGATTGGAGAGTGGAGATTTGACAAAAGATCATATGATAAGAGCTGGCCTCCTAGGAACCTTCCACTGCCACCGCCTGGTGTCCCAGAAAGTGTGGTATGTTCTTTTCACCCTGTGCACGTGTCGTTTTGCTCTGTACTTTACAGTGTAAATATGTGTCTTAATTATTATATTTTTTTTGTTTCCGGGAATTATAGTTTGTCTGAGAAGTCTAACCTTGTCAATCTGGCATTACAAAACATGTAGCTTTCAAAGTTCTATCCAATCTACCAATTTGTTGAGAAGTATAGACACAGATAATTTTTGTTGTTCCATCTAGAAAGTAGGTTGATTTAGCTCCTAGTGCTCCTAAAGAGCGAGGTTAGCATGCTTGGTAAATATGTACTGGTGACTAATTTGCCAATAGAAAGCTGCAGGAAACTTGCATGCTTGTTGAGAAAGATAAAATTGGGTCATCGATTATGTTTAGGAACTTGTGTACATGCTTGGGAATATGGTTTCGCATAATATACATAACTGTAAAACGTTTTTCTTATAATTTTCACTTCAGATCGGATGTCCTTAAACTTCTTATAAATTACTCGCTTATCGGCTAACTGAAAAAATACAATACAGTAAGTATATATTATACTTTTTGTGTTTTACTTATGACTGGTCACATTATATGCACATAGCACAAACAAGTCATTAAATACAATACAGCAAGTATATATTATACTTTTCGTGTTTTTCATATGACTGGTCACATTATATGCACATACAGCAAACAAGTCATTCGCCTTAAAATTTTCATCTGAAACTGACAGTTGGAAAAATATGATATCATTTATACACAGCATAGTGCAATGCATCTGGTTGTTATATTCTTATTTCTTGTCAGATATCTATGTGGCTCTGTGTATAAGCAAGACTTGTGCTACATATTGTCTTCGTGGCCTAGCTCATTTGTTGTTTGTGCTAATGTTATTCTATTTTTCATGTATACAACTCTATTTCAAAACTATATTTTCAATTGACATGAGATAATGTTGGCTTTCCACCCAATATTATTCATGTGATGAGATTAAAAGCTAATCTATAATGTGGCAGGTTACGCTGGTAAAAATGGTAAATGAAGCCACTGCTAATATTCCAAATTGGGGTTCCTGAAAAGAAGTCATATTGAATGTCAATAGATAAACGATGCTTTACAGGAATCACGATGAAGATACATGCAATTGATACTGAAAGATGCTGCAGGTTAGATAAATTTGAACTTACTTTTGTATTTTAGCTCCACCCCTTCATGGTGTTTCAGAAAGCTCGAGGCATTGCTGTATGTATCTCACTTTGCATTTTTGGATTTATTGGAACCATGGTATAGTGCTCTCATGATACTGATATATGAGGGACCTCCCTTGTGAGGCATGTACATTACAGGACCATGTCTGTTGTTTAATTGACACAATTTATTACCTATCAGTCAAATTATAGCTTTTTTTACCAGTTGCATGGATATCGAAACAATTTGCCTTTAAATGAAATTTTATTTTGTCAAACGGTTTGGCATTCTCAGATTTTGGAATAATTACCAGTACATGCGGCCAAAGTTATACTATTTTCATGTACCAGATGACCTATTGTAGTTTACATTTCTAGCATCGCTACCTAAACTCCCAAGAAAAACTTACATGCGTGCGTGTAGACAAATGAGCACGCAATGACTCAGTAACACATTGAGCAAATCTAGTACTACATAATGCACCTTTCCAAGAATGTGATTTATATACTCAGTGCAATGTCTGTATATTTCTCCATGCTAATTGTTGTCTTTGAGAAGAAAAGTGACTCCCAGTTGTTGATCCAGGTCTTGATAAGGTTGGGAAATTAACTTGTTACAGCATGATATTTGAGTTCTAGGTTAACAGGAGGTTTCAAGGTTACAGATTATAAATGTTGATGCTCACCGTAGAAGAATAAGAAGACGAACATATATTTTGTGGCATCAAGTGTAGAATATAATTTTTATAGCTAAATATTTCTTGCCTTCGTTAGCTAAGGATGGAACGTTCATAATCATCACATAAACTTTATCGTTTCAATAGAAATGTAAATTAGAATATTCTGTAGAAAATAGACCAGACTAATCAAGATATATTTCCAAATTACCAATATCTCAAGAAATAAAGACAAAATATCATGAAAAGTAAGAGTCTGCATTGAATTAAGAAATTCAAAATTCCTGTTTTAAAATTAATCAAAGTTAAAACGAAAATGAAAGCATGTGAAGCAAATCTAAATAACAAAAATGACACGGAGCACCATAGAGATTATAGAGTTTGAAAGACTTCGAAAGTAACTCCTTGATCCCCTTCAACAAAAGGCAAAAATAATAATAATAATAATAAATCTTGATCTTTAGACATCATATCAACCCTTGGTAGGGGGACCGGAGTTGATCCAAGGTGCCCATCCATGCTGGTGGCAACATCCCATTTTGCTCATTCACTGTCATAAATAATGGTGGCGACATTCTGTAAACCCCTGCTAACTCTTTCATGGCACTATTAACACCTCTGGTTCCATCTGCAGCCTCTCCACCTCCATTCGTCCAAATGCTGATATTGGGCTGTAGTCCTTGAAACATTCCACCACTGATCATCAGGCAATCCCTAAGGCAGCATAGTTGCCTCCCATTGCATTGAGAAGAGTCTTGTGTTTTGGCTATTAGCCCTTCTGCTTCCTTCTTCTTTGCATACAGTTCACCATCTACTACTTGTTGCCTGTAAAAAGTAGCGTTTGCTTCTGCTTTCTGTGCTTGTGCTTCTTTCTCTTTTTGGTATGGACATGCTTCTTCGGCTTCTGTTTCTTGTAGAGATCCTAGTTTGCTTATTGGACCTTTGTTTTCATGACAACAGTAATCAGATTTAGATAGTGATAAATTTCAGAAAACCAGCTAGGAAGAAAAATACAGGATCACTGTTTCAGCATTCACCTAACAATTAAATTCTTTGTTAAATTATCTGGTAGAGGTGTTATGTCTTAGTAATCAAGTCAATATATGTAGACTCTAGAATCTAGATGTGGTAAGTAATCTCTTTACTGTGCGAGTGTATTAAAAAGCATATGCTGTGCAACAAGTATCCATACCTTGGTTTCGTATTCAACACTGGCTTGGCTAAAAAACTCAGCCTTGAGCTTCTCCGTCTGTGTCAATGCATTCGTGCTCTCAGCATTCCCAAGTCTTCTTTTGAAGCCTCGACCTCGGCCACTTGTGCTTCCTCAGCCCATTCTGCCTTCTTTGCCAACTCTGCATTCGCCTTAGCCTCCTTTTGATTCTAATACACCAGTCCTCACCTGGATTTCTTGTTTTTTGCCTTCTCCCTGCCTCTGGGTTGATATTATCTTGGTTTCAGTGTCAGTTTTTGCAGCGATTTAAAGTGTTCCTTCTCGAAGTTTTGCACCTGTTTCCCCCTTCATTTCGACTTCTGTAACATCAAATTTTGCCTGGTTTGCAGCCTCCATCCGTGTCTTTTGACCCAAGTAAGGGTACTTTTGACCTCACACATCGCTGAGCTGTTTTGACATTGGCATGTAGATTAACAGCCCAAACTGGTAAAGTTCAAGTTGTACTTTCTCAGACAGTTCTTGCTTAAACTCTTTAGTCCGTCCCACGGTCATTGAGGCTGCCAAGACACTCGATGACACCTTCAGCGAGTTCTTTAACATGGATGGAGAGCTTGTCATGAGGAGAGATAAGCTTTGCATGCTTCAGGATGCTTGCCTCGTCATCAGTATGAGGTCCAGTCTGTGAAGCCTGCCTGGATGACGACAGGCAGCTTCTTGGCGCTCATTGCTTGCAAACAACAGCAAGATTGTTATATTAAATTACATAACAGAGTTGTTCTCATCACATCCTTAGGTTGAAGAAGGTCCCAAGGTTGATTGTTTGCTGAAGCAACAATAGTTTTCTGGGGTAACGTGGAGTTGCTTTTACTTTTTGATCCATCTCCTTTTTTGCAAGAACGTTTTGATGCAATTGACTCGCTATCAAATTTGAGGGGCTGCACTTCTTGTTAGTGGGTGTTAAAACCTTCTGTAGGAAAAAATTATTTGTAATGGCAAGTTTTATCTAGATAGCTTTTAATATAAAATAAACTTCGTAGTATTGTAGTTCTATGTGATAAAATTATATAAATTCTACTATAAAAAATTCATTTTCGGCTACAAGTCCAAGCCTACGTGTGTAATTATATATTGGGGCCGTTTGAGCCTCATTATTTGTAGACTATAATGAGATGAATAATGTTTTTTTGAAAAATGAGTGATTGAAAAGTTTTTTATTTGCGTGTAATATTATTTTATTGAAAATTGTATGATTAAAAGCAGGAGAGAGAAATTTAAGTTAATGTAATGAGAAATAATGGGGCTCAAACGGGATCTAATTCGTTATCCAATGCATTAACTCCATGAAAAATGAATTAGAGAGCTGACTTCACATCTTATTTGTTCATTTAGGGCCTATGGGTGGATCTTAATTTCATATTTCTTTTGTGAGATTTGACAAAAGTATAATAGTATATAATACTTGTCCATTAGTTCAGATTTCGAAATTTCTTTTGTAAAATTTTGACTAAGTGTGCATAGTTTAGAGGCTTTCTATTTTTAAAGAGCATATTTTATCATTTGAAGAATATCTATAAATTTAGAGAGTTAAAATTTTGAAATTCTTTAGCAAGCTCTTTATATTTAATTTTTAATTTTACTTCTCTAAAAAAATATTTATTATTTTTCTCTATCTTTTATATTGACAAGATTTTCTCTAGATTATTTTATTATTTTCCTACGTTGAAAAATGAAATATTTTGAATGCATTTAATTATAGAGAATGAAGTTGACTCTCCAAATTTGAAAAGTCAAACTCACTTCTCTAAATTAAAATGTTAATTTAAAGAATTCCTTGAAGTATTATTTTAAAGATTGACTTTTTTAAATAGAGAGCATCTTGTGTTTAAAGAATTTTTTGGAGATGCTCTTGCACATTTAGTTAGGATCTACTTCTTGGTAGATTTTAATTCAAGATTTCTTTTGTAAGATTCGACTAAGAAATATGAACTTTAATCCTTCAAGGCAATTCGATATCAACTACAAAGATTAACAAAAGTCTCATAAAAGCCCTTGCTGACACTAAAGTCGTGTGTGATGAAATAATGAATATCTCCTCATATCTTGAAAAAATGAAGAATATAATAAAGGTGATTATTGATCGTTTGGTAAGGTGGATGAAACAGTATTCAATCATATAAAAAATAAAAATAAAAATAAAAAAATTCATCCGTTATATTGCCCAATGCTGCATCCAGACAGGCTCTTAGAGACAACCAAAGGATAAAGCAATTAGATTCAAAGTAATTAGTTTTCAACTCCGGTTGCGGTTCTTACATAGAAATATTCTTCTCATCATCTTGGCGCTGTGGCGAGTCCCAGCAGGAATACAGCCCCTTATGGAACATCGTCAGTGAACAGGCATTTATTGTCAATATAAGTGCCTGGAAATCAGTGCTCGTAAGTACAGTGAAAACGTTACCTTTAGGAGAATTTTTCTTGTCAACATGCTTCGACTTGCATAATTCCCGAATGATTTAAATATCAAACATAAAGATAAAAAGCATGGCTCAAAAGTAGCAGTGATGCCCACCACTTCATCTAATATTTGCATCGAATATGTATACAAATGGATGATACCAACGGCTGCATGGCTATCGAGCTTGAGTTAATTAAGATTCACCAACAACTCTATGCTGACCAAGTTCGTATAAACATACTGTTTGAAAAGTAACTAAGATTATTTAATGGACGAAAATGAGAGAGGTCAAGTTAAAATAAAAACCCACAAAAGGTACTGCGTTTATTTTCGCGTGCAATATACACATCTTGCAAGCAAATCTCTACTTTCAAGTTTCAACCATGCATATGAATCAAGAAAAATGTTCAAATTACCAAAATACAAGCAAAAAACACGAAGATGAAAAGAACAAGATAACACAGGAAACATAGCACAATAGAGAATATGTTTAGTTAAAAGCACTTCGAAAAAGTAAGTTCCTGATCTTCTGGTATCATATCAATTCCTGGTAGAGTGAGCAGAGTCCGTCAATGTGCCCATCCAAGCTGGTGGTAACATCCCAGTTTGCTCATTCACAGTCTTAAACAATGGCGGCAACATTTTGTAAACACCACTTACTTCTTTCATGGCGTTGTTACCGCCTCCTGCACCATCGGCTGCCTCTCCGCCTCCATTTGTCCAAATGCTGATTTTGGGCTGTAGTCCACGCACAGCCTCAGCATTGATTTTGGCAATCTCTTGAAACGTTCCACCACTGATCATTAGGTAGTCCCTCAGGGCTGCATAATTGCCTCCCAACGCCTCAAGCAGGGTGCGTATATAAATTCCTTGAGCTTCTGCTACGGCTACGAGTCCTTCTGCTTCCTTCTTCTTTGCATACAATTCTCCATCTACGATTTGCTGGCGACCGTAAAAACTTGCCTCGGCTGCTGCTTTTTGTGCTTGTGCTTCTTTCTCCTTTTCATATAGATATGCTTCTGCAGCTTTCTGTTTCCTGTAGAGCTCCCCATTTGCTTCTTGTACCTTCACTTTCATGAGAACATCAAATTAGAAAGATAAAAGAGTAGCATAATTGTTTCATAATTCATCTAACTTCACAATTTCTTAGATAATCAAGAAAAAAAAATATCAAATAGGCATTATGATAATCATGTCCTGGGTAGGATCCAGGTTGATTCATGACACGGACTTTAACTTGCTTCTGATGAACTTAATTAATTAGTACTCAAATAAAGTCACGTAAATATTCATGGAAGTTTAATCTCTGTTATATATCTTCAGCAAAGTGGTCTGATAAAATCTCTATTAACCAAAAATTGTCCCTTCGAAGTAATTACTTACACACACACATATATATATGATCAATTGTCACTGTTTATTAGCTTTGATGGGTGTCAAAAGAGGACACGACCAGCTAGAAAGGCAAAGGAATCGATTCTCATCCGAGAGTGTGCAACAAGTATCTATACCTTGGTTTCGTACTCAACACTAGCTTTGCTCAAAAACTCAGCCTTGAGCTTCTCTGTCCGTGTCAATGCGTTCATACTCTCTACCTCCCTCTGCAGCTCAGCGTCCCTGAGTGCCACTGCTTTTGAAGCCTCCACCTCGGCCACCTGTGACTCCTTAGCCCATCCGGCCTTCTTCTTAGCCAGTTCTGCATTTGCCTCTGCCACCTCAGCCTCCTTTTGATTCTCATAAACTTTGACCTCAGTCATCACCTTTATTTCCTCTTTCTTTCCTTCTCCCTGCCTTTGTGTTGATATAATCTTGGTTTCTGCATCAATTTTTGCAGCATTTTGAAGCGTTTGCCCTTCTCGAAGCTTTGAACCAATCTCTCCCTTCATTTTGGCTTCAGAAACATCGACTCTTGCCTGGTTTGCTGCTTCCATCTGAGTCTTTTGACCCAAGTAAGAGAAGTACTCATGACCAGGCACATCCACAAGCTGTTTGACATTGGCATTATAGATTAACAGCCCAAACTGGTTAAGTTCAAGTTGTACTTTCTCAAACACTTCCTGTTTAAACTCTTTAGTCCCTCTAAAAACCTCTTCCATGGTCATTGAGGCCGCCAGGACACGAGTCTCCCCCTCGATGATACCCTGAACAAGTTCTTTAACATGGTTTGAGAGCTTGTCATGAGGCGAGATAAGCTTGGCATACTTTAGGAGGCTGCCTTCATCATCAATACGAGGCCCTATAGTGAAGACTGCCGGGAGGACGAATGGTAACTTCTCGGCACTCATCGCTTGCACTTCAAAGGTGTAGTTAACCGGGGAGACATCAAAGATTGCACATGACTGACCGGGAAGAACCCATGCTTTTTTCGCAATCTTAATATCGGTGATGCCTACTCCAGTAATTACTAGGTACTCGGATGCACTTGCAACTTTATACATGGTTGCCTATGGGTGGAAGTGTGGCAAAATGGTGTTGTGGAAGCTTTTAAACGTTGAATTGAACTACAAAATTGTGTAGATAAAAGGGGTATATATATATATATATCTAAAGTCAGATTACAGAGGAGAATAATTCAAGAATATAATGTTTGCGTGGAATTTACAACAAACTTTCACTGCTTAATAGTTAATACTATGATAATTAGGCCTTAATAAGTTCAAATTAGTGGTAGCAAAGATACAAGGATCGACAGCTGGTTAAATCATTGACAAAACCAACGCAAGTAAAGAGACATTAATATAGAATTTAATGAGTTAAATAAGATGGTTTCCTTATAATATGATGATACAAATGGAGCCTTCTAAGTCAATGCCAATGAATCGATAAGATTTATAAAGATGATACAAATGGAGCCTTTCAGCTTAATGCCAGTGAACGACAATATTGAAAATGTTCCCAACTCGTTTTCTGCAGTAGTCTGATATGTAATATGACCCCTTGAAGGAGAAGAAATACATGTTGCTAGCACCTTGTTTAAAAGTCCCAACCACGTTTACGTATTTTGAATGAACTCCTTAACACGCTTTGTTGCTTGTCTGTCGTATTTATGTTTATTAAAAAGATACGTGTATACACAATTTTTAACAATAAACAACAATAAGACTTGAATTCAAGTCTTTTATATATCATGATATCATGTTGAACCACCTCATCTAAAAGTTTAAGTTGTTAGAAACGAGAATGAATCTATTTATGTACATCTTAGAGAATACACCTCCTCACATGCAAGTCAAATTCATTTTTTTCTTCCGGAGGAAGACAAATGACAACGATCATTATACTTAAATCACGTCATCCAAAAGTTCAAGTTAAACCAAAAACATAGTCCTTTGAATTTAATCTTCAATGCCATAGAGGTAAAAGTGAATTTCCGTCCCGATATTATAATTATATCATCGCATTTAAAATGATTAAATTTCTTAGATTACAATCCAGAACCCACTTCATTCCATGTACGACCAGATTCGCTACAAATTGCGGAGTTGACAAGACAAAAAAAAAAAAAAGAAAAAAAGAAAAAAAAAGGAACAACTGTTTCTTCCTGCCAAGTATGAAAAAGCATATTTATTTTAAGGAATTTTTACCTGGTCTAAACCCCATACTTGGTTATTAAGAATAACAGCTATACTTCTTTAAGAATTAAGGATGTTTCGAAGACATTCATGTGCTTCATACCATTGAATAGGCCAATTGGGATTTCTTGGCAGTTCGCCCATTTTTTAAGATATCATTCTTTATTATTTTACAGGCTACAACGTTAAAATTTAAGTCTGACAACAAAAAGTCATCGCCAACAATGGTTAGTCTGGGTAATTTCTTGATATTTATCCTCTTGCTGAAAGAGCACATCCTCCATCGCTACCATAGCACGTATTCCGATATAGCACTTGACATAATCGCACCAATTCTTTTTCCTATAAAACTGTCCTTCACCCCCACGAAACATGTCTTCAATGCACAAGTCAAAGCATACCAAAACTTGCTTTAGTTAGCTATACAATCAATCCAATTCAATTGGCCGTCCAGCGCCAATTTCGTTTATAAGTAGATTGCAGATTTCACATTTTGGTTTGGCTACCAAAACCAACGAAAAGAAATGAATTATTTCTAAATAAGCTCCTATATTTGATACCCAACCAATCAACGATTGAAAATTTAAGAGAGTTGATTCACCTCTCATGAAACTACAAATAAGAACTTACTAGAGTTGGTGGCTAAAGAGGGTTTGATAAGAAAATAGAGATCCCAAACTACTAAAATTGATCAAGAAAATTGAGAAATTCCAAAACTGGCTAATAGGAGAATATAATTTAGCATCTGGTAAAATACAAAATATATCAATCTCTTGCAGCAAGTCAACATCACCATAGTTTCAACAAGACAGTCTCAGACGGCCTTTCCAAACACTTTTTTGAACCAAGAAATTCAGAACCCTAGACTCACATTCCTGTAAATGCCTTCTTCCCGAGACTGGAAGAACCAGCTGGGATCACCTTCAAAACATTGAACCTCACCGTTTTTGACAATGGCCTGCAAATTCAAAGTATCCTAAAATTGAATATCAGAGTTTCATTTATAAGATATGTGAATAAAGTAGCTTTAATCCCAACCTGCACTGGCCAATTATGACATGATCTCCTTCTTTCACACGGAAGCATGGAGAGACGTGTGCTGGAATGTTTGAATGCCTCTTTTCATATCTGGAAGACAAATATTAATACAGATTAATAAAGTAATATATAAACTAAAAAATAGAAATCAGACAAAGTGATTAGGTCACACCTCTGGTACTTCTTGACCCAATGCAGGTAGTTGCGACGAACGATGATTGTTCTCATCATCTTGGCACTGTGGCACGTCCCAGCAAGAATACGGCCCCTGATTGAAACATCGCCAGTAAAAGGGCATTTCTTGTCGATATAGGTAGCTAGAAAGAAGTGTTTATGAGTACAGTGAATAAATTGCAGTGAAGCCCAAACACTAGAATATAGAACATTTCTCATAAGATGATATTTTTTATAAACATGCTCCTCTGAGAGACACTGTTCCCAAATGTGTCAAACACCAAATATTAAGATAAAAAGGCATGCCTCAAACTCAAAACCCCCAGAAAAAGAAAAAAGATGGATAATGACTATGATGCTCGGACTTGGGTACGGGTATCAGGTATGGGAACGTATCTAGGTATCGGATCTTTTATTTTCTAAAATATAGGATACGGGAGCATGGTTAAAAAGAGTCCAATTTTCAGATTCGGGTACGTGGATACGTCTTTCAAGGTTCAATTTTTTTACTAATTCAAGAAGTCATTTTGAATAAATCAAAATCAATTATTCACAAAAGAAGGAAATGGATATTGAATAAGAAGTTGAGACGAATAAAATTAAATTTTGGGATTTAGTTTTCAATTATAGACATTATTAAATGTTATATAAAATAGCAAACAAGGGACTTGATTATAATTTGAACTTAGTGGAGAACTAATTAGAACTGGGAAAGAAGAAAAGGAAAGAAAAAAAAAGAAGAAGAAAAACAAAAACAACGAAGTGTCTGATGAAAATTTGAAGGATCCGACACATATCTCATACCCATACCCATGTCGTGTCTTGTCCGATACGGGTACTCCAACTATTTCGAAGAGTCCGAGCATCAGAGGATAACGATAATTCAAGTTTTTGAAGTGCAGTTTCCAAGGATATAGATGGGTGAGCAGTACCATATCTACATCAGCTAATAATTGTAACATGTACAAGGTACTATTTCATCTTACATTTACACATGAGAAGATAAAGATGGAATCCCTAGTAGTAATAATAACATCCTCGAGACTTATTTTCCTTAAAGCACATAAGCAAGAAATGCAAAAACATTCCAGTATATCTGCTGCCTGATGATTTAGGCAAACTTCTCTAAAGAGTCCTTTATGTGAGAAAAAGCAAACTTTAGCCAATGTGAATAGTGAATTGACTCAACTACCTGGGAAGTTAACTAAGCAACTGATAGGCCACCTGTGCTAATTAAATATCAGAGACGCAAAGGGAAGGAAGGGCAGAAAAGGAAGAACAGGGAAGAGAAAACCAGCCAACATGTGCTCACAACAAATTCGGTTAGTGTTTAGTTTATAAGGAGGCAAAAGGAGGAGAAAAGGGGGGAAGATATCAGGAGAAATCTGGGGAGAGTCTGGACCTCTCAAACGTCCACCTATCCATTTTTTTTATTGCCATTTGTTTTATTTCAGTTTCTTCTAATTGTTGTGAAGAATAGTCTACAGTTGATGTTAGTTCAGAATTCATTTTAATACAGAAAATCCATTGAGTTGGCCTTGCTGTTCGGTGATATACGTATTTTTGCTGCGTTGATTTCCTTATTTTCTGATTGTTTGACTACTGTGGCAACACGATTATATCATTTTGGTATCAGAGCGAGATTCCTAGAATGATGTTTTCTGATCGTGTAGGGGAATTGGAGGGAAGAACGAAAACTATTCACGCTGGGATGGAAGTGATGAAGTCCGAAATGCAGCGGATTCATGGTATAGAGAAGAACATGAGTTTAATGATGGAGCAATTCAAACTCGTAATGCACAGCTGGGATGATCTACAAAGGGAACGGAAAATGAAAGGACCGGAGGAAGTTCCTACTTCTGAGTTCACTGGGAATTCAGCAGTAACAATTGGGGATGGAGAACCAGCTGGAGGACTGTGGCGCCTGGACTATAGAAACCAGCAACTAGAGATTTCGGTGTTTGAAGGAAATAATCCGGAAGGATGGGTGTTTAAGGCCAAATGTTATTTTAACCTTACACAGATTTCTGAGGTGGAAAAACTGGAGGCAGCCACAATTTGCTTTGAAGGAGAAGCCCTCTCTTGGTATCAATGGCAACAGATGCGTAAGAGGGTAGCAAACTGGGAAGAATTGAAGGGATTAGTACTTAATCGTTTCCAAGCAAGCTATGGGGGAACTGGCGAGGAGAGATTTTTAGCTATCCGGCAAGAGGGGTCAGTTAGGGAGTACCGGCAATGGTTTGAGACGTTGGCTGCACCCTTATCGAAAATTCCACACCGACTATTAGAGGGCCACTTCATTAACGGGCTGAAGGCAGAAGTGAAGACTGAGTTAAGGGTGCTACGGCCCAATGGGCTAGAAGAAATAATGGAAATGGCCCAAAGGATAGATGAGAAGAATATGTTGGGGCAAGGGCAGTGGGTCGGTCCAGCAAGAAATAGGGCAGGTGGATTCTCTTCTCAACTCATGAATCCAGCCCAACTCAGTCCCAACCCACCAAGAAACTCTCTGATGCTGTTCAGAACATTCCCAAACGTCAATCCCAATCCTCCCCCTTCCAAGTACTTTTCCTGATTTAACCCAATCATGGGTTCGTTGCCACCGGTCGTGGGGAGAAAGGCAGTACCCCCTTCAAAAGGCTGAGTGAAGCGGAATTACAGGCGAAAAGGGAGAAGGGGCTGTGTTTTCGGTGCTACGAAAAGTATACCATTGGGCATCGCAAGAACAGGGAGCTGCAAGTAATGTTGGTTCACAAGGATGAGGATCCAACGATGGTCGGGGAAGAGAGGGACTTATGACCGGAAGGGGACGAAGATCAACTGTTGGGAAAAGAGGGTGAGGCGATGGAGCTTTCTATCAATTCGGTGGTGGGATTAACTTCGCCCCACACCATGAAGATTAAAGGGGTCATTGGAGAACAAGAGGTAGTGGTGCTAGTGGACTATGGTGCGACACAATTTTATTTCGGCAGAACTGGTCTAGCAATTGGAAATACCCCGAACAGAGACGATGGGCTACGGTGTAATCATGGGAATGGGTTTTGCTATGCAAGGAGCTGGGGTCTGTAAAGGAGTTGTCCTCAAGCTCCAAAATCTGGAAATTATTGATGATTTCCTTCCTTCAGAGTTGGGCAGTTCTGATGTTATATTGGGGATGAAATGGTTGTCATCGTTGGGGAGAGTGTCCGTTGATTGGAAGTCTCTGTTGATGCGATTTTAGGTGGGAAAGACAACAATTACCCTACAAGGGGATCCCAATTTGAGTAAAACATTAGTTGGCTTGAAAACAATGATGAACGCATTTAAGGAAAATGGGGAGGGAATCTTGTTGGAGTTGGGTAGTTTGTCGGTCGAGGTAGACAACGGGATTGGAAGGTAGGCAGAGTTGCCGAAGGAGATGGAGAGTTTATTAAGGGAAATTGAAGGGATCTTCCAAGAGCTGTGGGGATTGCCACCACGTCGAGGCAGAGACCATGCGATTGTACTACAGCCTGGGGCTAGGCCTGTAAGCATCAGGCTGCATCGCTACCCTTACAGTCAGAAAAATGAGATTGAAAAATTGGTGGAGGAGATGTTAGCAGCTGGCATCATTGGGCCTAGTGTGAGCCCTTTCTCCAGCCCTGTGTTGTTGGTTAAGAAGAAGGATGGAGGGTGGAGGTTTTGTGTGATTATCGAGCGTTAAACAAGGTGACAGTGCCTTATAAGTTTCCAATTCCGGTGACAGAAGAATTGTTGAATGAATTGCATGGTGCCACTATTTTCTCTAAGCTGGATTTGAAGGCTAGATACCATCAAATTCGGGTGGCAACGGACGAAATTCCTAAAACAGCCTTTCGAACTCACGAAGGGCATTACGAGTTTTTGGTTATGCCCTTCGGCTTAACAAATTGATGAATGACATCTTTAAGGATCAGTTAAAAAGGTCCGTGCTGATTTTTTTTTTTTATGACATTCTTGTTTACAGTCGGAATATAGAGGAGCATCGAGAGCAATTGAGAAGGGTTCTTAAAATACTGGAGGAACAACAGCTGTACTTAAATAGGAAGAAGTGCATATTTGGTCAACAAGAAATAGAATACCTGGGGCATATTATCTGTCAACAAGGGGTCGCAGTAGATAAGGTGAAGCTTCAGGCAATGGTGGATTGGCCAACTCCGAGGTCCCTTCGAGAGCTTAGCGGCTTCTTGGGATTGACGGGGTACTATAGAAGAATTAACTGAGAGGTTGAAGAAGAAAAACTTTTATTGGGATGAGTTGGCGGAGAAGGCTTTTCAGGAGTTGAAGGTGAAGATGATGACGTTGCCAGTCTTGGGACTACCAGATTTTTCTCAAACTTTTGTTGTGGAAACAGATGATTCCGGTTATGGATTGGGAGCGGTGTTGATGCAAGATCAGCGCCCCATCGCCTATTTTAGCCATGCACTGAATCCGAAAGGCAGGGAGAAAACTGTGTATGAGAGAGAACTCATGGCTATAGTTTTTGCTATGCAAAAGTGGAGACATTATCTCTTGGGCTATCGTTTCGTATTAGGACCAACCAAAGAAGCTTGAAATTTTTATTGGAGCAAAAGGTAATTAATCCAGAATATCAGAAGTGGATGGTGAAGCTCATGGGGTTCCAGTTCGAAATCCAATATAACCGAGCTTAGAGAATAAAAAAAAACGGGAATGGAAAAATACAACCCTTTTTGTTCAGAAATCTGTCCAGCTTCTTCTTCTTCGTTTCAGCAGCTTCTTCTTCCTTTTATGGGTGTTTTTTCAGGCTCAGGAACAACCTCCATGCTATGCCAATTGCCTTCCAAAGAGAGAGGGGAAAACCAATGAAGAACCACCACCCTTTTGCTAAAACGAGAGCTCCACCTTTCTGCTGGAATGAAAGAGACCGAGAGCTCCTCTTTCTGCTGCTGCTGCTGGGAATTACTGAGACTGAGAGCTGCCCCCTTATTCAAATATAAAATGGTAGAGTGTACATAATGAAGGGGTAGGAAGAAGACCATGCCTCTGCCAAATGAAGGGAAGACCTTATTGTGTCAACCTCACTCCCATCAACTCACAACATTAGGTGGTGGGGTTAGGTGAACCATATCTTCACACTATCGAGCTTGAGTTAATTAAGATTCACCAACAACTCTATGCTGACCAAGTTCGTATAAACATACTGTTTGAAAAGTAACTAAGATTATTTAATGGACGAAAATGAGAGAGGTCAAGTTAAAATAAAAACCCACAAAAGGTACTGCGTTTATTTTCGCGTGCAATATACACATCTTGCAAGCAAATCTCTACTTTCAAGTTTCAACCATGCATATGAATCAAGAAAAATGTTCAAATTACCAAAATACAAGCAAAAAACACGAAGATGAAAAGAACAAGATAACACAGGAAACATAGCACAATAGAGAATATGTTTAGTTAAAAGCACTTCGAAAAAGTAAGTTCCTGATCTTCTGGTATCATATCAATTCCTGGTAGAGTGAGCAGAGTCCGTCAATGTGCCCATCCAAGCTGGTGGTAACATCCCAGTTTGCTCATTCACAGTCTTAAACAATGGCGGCAACATTTTGTAAACACCACTTACTTCTTTCATGGCGTTGTTACCGCCTCCTGCACCATCGGCTGCCTCTCCGCCTCCATTTGTCCAAATGCTGATTTTGGGCTGTAGTCCACGCACAGCCTCAGCATTGATTTTGGCAATCTCTTGAAACGTTCCACCACTGATCATTAGGTAGTCCCTCAGGGCTGCATAATTGCCTCCCAACGCCTCAAGCAGGGTGCGTATATAAATTCCTTGAGCTTCTGCTACGGCTACGAGTCCTTCTGCTTCCTTCTTCTTTGCATACAATTCTCCATCTACGATTTGCTGGCGACCGTAAAAACTTGCCTCGGCTGCTGCTTTTTGTGCTTGTGCTTCTTTCTCCTTTTCATATAGATATGCTTCTGCAGCTTTCTGTTTCCTGTAGAGCTCCCCATTTGCTTCTTGTACCTTCACTTTCATGAGAACATCAAATTAGAAAGATAAAAGAGTAGCATAATTGTTTCATAATTCATCTAACTTCACAATTTCTTAGATAATCAAGAAAAAAAAATATCAAATAGGCATTATGATAATCATGTCCTGGGTAGGATCCAGGTTGATTCATGACACGGACTTTAACTTGCTTCTGATGAACTTAATTAATTAGTACTCAAATAAAGTCACGTAAATATTCATGGAAGTTTAATCTCTGTTATATATCTTCAGCAAAGTGGTCTGATAAAATCTCTATTAACCAAAAATTGTCCCTTCGAAGTAATTACTTACACACACACATATATATATGATCAATTGTCACTGTTTATTAGCTTTGATGGGTGTCAAAAGAGGACACGACCAGCTAGAAAGGCAAAGGAATCGATTCTCATCCGAGAGTGTGCAACAAGTATCTATACCTTGGTTTCGTACTCAACACTAGCTTTGCTCAAAAACTCAGCCTTGAGCTTCTCTGTCCGTGTCAATGCGTTCATACTCTCTACCTCCCTCTGCAGCTCAGCGTCCCTGAGTGCCACTGCTTTTGAAGCCTCCACCTCGGCCACCTGTGACTCCTTAGCCCATCCGGCCTTCTTCTTAGCCAGTTCTGCATTTGCCTCTGCCACCTCAGCCTCCTTTTGATTCTCATAAACTTTGACCTCAGTCATCACCTTTATTTCCTCTTTCTTTCCTTCTCCCTGCCTTTGTGTTGATATAATCTTGGTTTCTGCATCAATTTTTGCAGCATTTTGAAGCGTTTGCCCTTCTCGAAGCTTTGAACCAATCTCTCCCTTCATTTTGGCTTCAGAAACATCGACTCTTGCCTGGTTTGCTGCTTCCATCTGAGTCTTTTGACCCAAGTAAGAGAAGTACTCATGACCAGGCACATCCACAAGCTGTTTGACATTGGCATTATAGATTAACAGCCCAAACTGGTTAAGTTCAAGTTGTACTTTCTCAAACACTTCCTGTTTAAACTCTTTAGTCCCTCTAAAAACCTCTTCCATGGTCATTGAGGCCGCCAGGACACGAGTCTCCCCCTCGATGATACCCTGAACAAGTTCTTTAACATGGTTTGAGAGCTTGTCATGAGGCGAGATAAGCTTGGCATACTTTAGGAGGCTGCCTTCATCATCAATACGAGGCCCTATAGTGAAGACTGCCGGGAGGACGAATGGTAACTTCTCGGCACTCATCGCTTGCACTTCAAAGGTGTAGTTAACCGGGGAGACATCAAAGATTGCACATGACTGACCGGGAAGAACCCATGCTTTTTTCGCAATCTTAATATCGGTGATGCCTACTCCAGTAATTACTAGGTACTCGGATGCACTTGCAACTTTATACATGGTTGCCTATGGGTGGAAGTGTGGCAAAATGGTGTTGTGGAAGCTTTTAAACGTTGAATTGAACTACAAAATTGTGTAGATAAAAGGGGTATATATATATATATATCTAAAGTCAGATTACAGAGGAGAATAATTCAAGAATATAATGTTTGCGTGGAATTTACAACAAACTTTCACTGCTTAATAGTTAATACTATGATAATTAGGCCTTAATAAGTTCAAATTAGTGGTAGCAAAGATACAAGGATCGACAGCTGGTTAAATCATTGACAAAACCAACGCAAGTAAAGAGACATTAATATAGAATTTAATGAGTTAAATAAGATGGTTTCCTTATAATATGATGATACAAATGGAGCCTTCTAAGTCAATGCCAATGAATCGATAAGATTTATAAAGATGATACAAATGGAGCCTTTCAGCTTAATGCCAGTGAACGACAATATTGAAAATGTTCCCAACTCGTTTTCTGCAGTAGTCTGATATGTAATATGACCCCTTGAAGGAGAAGAAATACATGTTGCTAGCACCTTGTTTAAAAGTCCCAACCACGTTTACGTATTTTGAATGAACTCCTTAACACGCTTTGTTGCTTGTCTGTCGTATTTATGTTTATTAAAAAGATACGTGTATACACAATTTTTAACAATAAACAACAATAAGACTTGAATTCAAGTCTTTTATATATCATGATATCATGTTGAACCACCTCATCTAAAAGTTTAAGTTGTTAGAAACGAGAATGAATCTATTTATGTACATCTTAGAGAATACACCTCCTCACATGCAAGTCAAATTCATTTTTTTCTTCCGGAGGAAGACAAATGACAACGATCATTATACTTAAATCACGTCATCCAAAAGTTCAAGTTAAACCAAAAACATAGTCCTTTGAATTTAATCTTCAATGCCATAGAGGTAAAAGTGAATTTCCGTCCCGATATTATAATTATATCATCGCATTTAAAATGATTAAATTTCTTAGATTACAATCCAGAACCCACTTCATTCCATGTACGACCAGATTCGCTACAAATTGCGGAGTTGACAAGACAAAAAAAAAAAAAAGAAAAAAAGAAAAAAAAAGGAACAACTGTTTCTTCCTGCCAAGTATGAAAAAGCATATTTATTTTAAGGAATTTTTACCTGGTCTAAACCCCATACTTGGTTATTAAGAATAACAGCTATACTTCTTTAAGAATTAAGGATGTTTCGAAGACATTCATGTGCTTCATACCATTGAATAGGCCAATTGGGATTTCTTGGCAGTTCGCCCATTTTTTAAGATATCATTCTTTATTATTTTACAGGCTACAACGTTAAAATTTAAGTCTGACAACAAAAAGTCATCGCCAACAATGGTTAGTCTGGGTAATTTCTTGATATTTATCCTCTTGCTGAAAGAGCACATCCTCCATCGCTACCATAGCACGTATTCCGATATAGCACTTGACATAATCGCACCAATTCTTTTTCCTATAAAACTGTCCTTCACCCCCACGAAACATGTCTTCAATGCACAAGTCAAAGCATACCAAAACTTGCTTTAGTTAGCTATACAATCAATCCAATTCAATTGGCCGTCCAGCGCCAATTTCGTTTATAAGTAGATTGCAGATTTCACATTTTGGTTTGGCTACCAAAACCAACGAAAAGAAATGAATTATTTCTAAATAAGCTCCTATATTTGATACCCAACCAATCAACGATTGAAAATTTAAGAGAGTTGATTCACCTCTCATGAAACTACAAATAAGAACTTACTAGAGTTGGTGGCTAAAGAGGGTTTGATAAGAAAATAGAGATCCCAAACTACTAAAATTGATCAAGAAAATTGAGAAATTCCAAAACTGGCTAATATGAGAATATAATTTAGCATCTGGTAAAATACAAAATATATCAATCTCTTGCAGCAAGTCAACATCACCATAGTTTCAACAAGACAGTCTCAGACGGCCTTTCCAAACACTTTTTTGAACCAAGAAATTCAGAACCCTAGACTCACATTCCTGTAAATGCCTTCTTCCCGAGACTGGAAGAACCAGCTGGGATCACCTTCAAAACATTGAACCTCACCGTTTTTGACAATGGCCTGCAAATTCAAAGTATCCTAAAATTGAATATCAGAGTTTCATTTATAAGATATGTGAATAAAGTAGCTTTAATCCCAACCTGCACTGGCCAATTATGACATGATCTCCTTCTTTCACACGGAAGCATGGAGAGACGTGTGCTGGAATGTTTGAATGCCTCTTTTCATATCTGGAAGACAAATATTAATACAGATTAATAAAGTAATATATAAACTAAAAAATAGAAATCAGACAAAGTGATTAGGTCACACCTCTGGTACTTCTTGACCCAATGCAGGTAGTTGCGACGAACGATGATTGTTCTCATCATCTTGGCACTGTGGCACGTCCCAGCAAGAATACGGCCCCTGATTGAAACATCGCCAGTAAAAGGGCATTTCTTGTCGATATAGGTAGCTAGAAAGAAGTGTTTATGAGTACAGTGAATAAATTGCAGTGAAGCCCAAACACTAGAATATAGAACATTTCTCATAAGATGATATTTTTTATAAACATGCTCCTCTGAGAGACACTGTTCCCAAATGTGTCAAACACCAAGCATTAAGATAAAAAGGCATGCCTCAAACTCAAAACCCCCAGAAAAAGAAAAAAAGATGGATAATGACTATGATGCTCGGACTTGGGTACGGGTATCAGGTATGGGAACGTATCTAGGTATCGGATCTTTTATTTTCTAAAATATAGGATACGGGAGCATGGTTAAAAAGAGTCCAATTTTCAGATTCGGGTACGTGGATACGTCTTTCAAGGTTCAATTTTTTTACTAATTCAAGAAGTCATTTTGAATAAATCAAAATCAATTATTCACAAAAGAAGGAAATGGATATTGAATAAGGAGTTGAGACGAATAAAATTAAATTTTGGGATTTAGTTTTCAATTATAGACATTATTAAATGTTATATAAAATAGCAAACAAGGGACTTGATTATAATTTGAACTTAGTGGAGAACTAATTAGAACTGGGAAAGAAGAAAAGGAAAGAAAAAAAAAAAAGAAGAAAAACAAAAACAACGAAGTGTCTGATGAAAATTTGAAGGATCCGACACATATCTCATACCCATACCCATGTCGTGTCTTGTCCGACACGGGTACTCCAACTATTTCGAAGAGTCCGAGCATCAGAGGATAACGATAATTCAAGTTTTTGAAGTGCAGTTTCCAAGGATA